ACACGTGAGAACAATCATGATACACTAGCTGCTAAAATGAATTAAAATGGGGTGCTAAAATGCATAAATGGCACGTATAAAAATACAATAAAGGGGGGGGGGGGGGAAACAGGATACCTATGGTGATAAAGACTGAGTAGAAAAGACTATACAAAAATGAGTGCAAAAACTGTAAAAGGACGAGTACAAATATAAATACATACAAAGGCCGAACTAGACGTAAACACTACTGACAAAAACGGCGGATTATCGGCAGCCAGCGGTCATGCAGCAGGGCACCCGAGTTCCTGTTCACGTTTGCGTCATTCGGCGACACCAGGACGGCTTCACGCCGACCAACAGTCCGAATATAGGCCGATTCCAGGAGAAGTCGCATCTGGTGATGACTGGCTCGATTCAAGATCTTGATGGCATCGAAAGCAGGTGAGCAGTCTCTATGGGTACTGAAGGCCGATGTATTGGCTCTCGAGCGGACTGCTCCAGTCCAGCTCTCCCGGTGTTCTCGGAGTCTCGTGCCCAGCTCACGATCTGTCTCGCCGATATAGACCATTGGGTCACCGTCCACTTGGCAGGAGCACTCGATCCGATAGATGACGTTGCTCTGTTGTAGCTTAGGTAGATGGTGCTTAGCCTTGCTGCAGAGCAGCGAGCCGATGGTGACTGAAGGCTTGGAGACGAGCTGGACTGGAGCAGTCCGCTCGAGAGCCAATACATCGGCCTTCAGTACCCATAGAGACTGCTCACCTGCTTTCGATGCCATCAAGATCTTGAATCGAGCCAGTCATCACCAGATGCGACTTCTCCTGGAATCGGCCTATATTCGGACTGTTGGTCGGCGTGAAGCCGTCCTGGTGTCGCCGAATGACGCAAACGTGAACAGGAACTCGGGTGCCCTGCTGCATGACCGCTGGCTGCCGATAATCCGCCGTTTTTGTCAGTAGTGTTTACGTCTAGTTCGGCCTTTGTATGTATTTATATTTGTACTCGTCCTTTTACAGTTTTTGCACTCATTTTTGTATAGTCTTTTCTACTCAGTCTTTATCACCATAGGTATCCTGTTTCCCCCCCCCCCTTTATTGTATTTTTATACGTGCCATTTATGCATTTTAGCACCCCATTTTAATTCATTTTAGCAGCTAGTGTATCATGATTGTTCTCACGTGTTTTTTATTCTCTTTAATGCATAATTCGAATAGTATGTGATCGCTCTGCCGCGCAGCTCCCGAACCTCTTCGATACCCGACTCGATTCGACCCGTTATTGATTCGCTGACGACGATATGTATAATACATATTGAAAGCGCTCCGACCCATTCGATCTCCTTGTGGAGTAAGTCCTAGTATTTCATCAATGGTAGAAGGAATGAAGCTACCCTACAAAAATTGCCGCGTGTAAATCGGTCAAGTGGTTGCTGAGATATAAGCCTCGCAAAAGCGTCCGCACGGCCGGCCGGCCGGCCGCTCATACTCAGAAATTTCCGTTAATCTAAGGAAAGACTCCGCTCGCTTCGCTCGCTCCGTAATCTATATTACTATTTGAACAGGATCCGTCTGTCTGTCTGTCTGTCCGCACTTGGTCTCCCCAATATATTGCAGTTCGCACCGTCTGCAATATATCCAGGGGCATCATCCTGGATGGGTAGTGGGTTCAATTCCACTCGCCTACAGGGCAGACGGTATATCGTAGGGGGTTGAAATTTGCACACCTTCTAGGTGACAGAGCGGGTCAGCGCCTTTTCTAGGTTCCGACTCGCTGGGGTGCACGGTTCGCGCGTGGGGCGCGCTGGAAGAACGCCAATGAAATTTTGATCGGTTCGTAGATCTTCATTGAGAGCCGGGGTCGACAAACTTTGGGGACTAAATGCATGCCGATCGGCGGCGAGTACCTCGCATTGGCGGATGGGCAAGTTTTTAATTTGAATAAATAGTGGCGAGAGATTGTGTAGATTTTCGTTGAATGGCGACAGTTGGCGATACGAGTATACAAATGCACCGCGTTTGCCGCGAGGCGTCACATTGGTCACAAGGCGTCATTTTTGCCGCAAATCGCACAGTTTTGTCAAATATGGTCTGATAAAGGTGCAATTTGGTGTCAAGATGCATGCTCAATCGCCGGTTGAAAATGCGCCGCGTTTGTCGTAGTGCGCCACATATGCCACAAAGCGCCATTTCCGACAAATACGATTGAGCGTAATGGAATTGTACGAACAGGAGGAGGGCTAGAAGCACTTTTAAAGTCTGATTTTTTTTTTAAAATACTTATTGGATCTAAGTATTATGTGACCTCACATGACCCAGTGGTAGGTAATGGTAGTGGTAGGAGGTAGGGGTAGGGGTAGGGGTAGGGGTAGGGGTAAGGATAGGGGTAGGGGTAGTGGTAGGGGTAGGGGTAGTGGCAGGGGTAGTAGTAGGGGTAGCAGTAGGGGTAGGGGTAGTGGTAGGAGTAGTAGTAGGGGTAGTGGTAGGGGTAGGGGTAGTAGTAGGGGTAGTGATAGTGGTAGGGGTAGGGGTAGGAGTAGGGGTAAGGGGTAGTGGTAGGGGTAGTGGTAGGGGTAGTGGTAGGGGTAGTAGTAGGGGTAGGGGTAGTAGTAGGGGTAGTGGTAGGGGTAGTGGTAGGGGTAGTGGTAGGGGTAGTGGTAGGGGTAGTGGTGGAGGCAAAGGTAGAACAGTGGTCCGGGATGATCCCATCAGACGAGAGGTGTCCTATGTGACCTGGCCTGACCCAGAGTAACCAAGGCTGACCCCTATGACCCGTCTTGACCCCGTTTCACCCAACTTTCATCCAACGAATCCCTCAGAGCAGTTTTTTAATTCTCTTCACATTTCCGTCCATATCTATGCTTCTAGACGACACATCGATTTGAAACGAACACCATTCGAAAGCAAATTGGCTGGTGCCGCAATTTTTTCCTACCACGCAGCAAAGCAAGTGGCGCAGCCGCTTGTCTATATTACTATTTGAGGAGGGTGCGTCTGTCCGTTACCGAGGTCCCGACTTGGTCGTGCTTTGCGTGGACTACAGGCCAGACCGTTGCACCTAGCCCGGTGAAATTTGCACAACTTATAGATCAAGGATGCGCGACGTGCCTTTGAGGGGTCTCAGCTCGATCGGATTGATAGGGAGCGCGTGGCGCGTGCTCAAAAAGTGCAAATTCGCGTCATAGACTTTACATGTATAAATCGGCGTGCGAAATCGGGCGAAAACGGCTAATTTTGGCCGACACGGGTCCAGTTCCCGTGCAATATCTTGGTGACCAGGGGTCCGACCGGCACGGGGAAAACAGCATCGTGTACAGAATTTAACGGGCTATTGAATGGTGTGCAATGCAGAGGATAGCACGCGCCACGTGCACCAGAGAGGGCACTTTTATTTGAAAAATTGCGGTTTTTGAGGGATTTTGGAATTAATTTTGTTTTTAGGTGACCGTTAAATGGAGCGAGTTGAATCAACGCCTATTTGCAAGAGAAAGGTACCGCCTCTCATATAAAAATTGTGAAAAGCTGATTGATCCAAATCAAGGTGGTGCAAATCACAGGAGAAAATGGTGTTTGTCAATTTTGTGCCACTTTGTTAATCACACGGGGTTTGCTGCATAACCTGATACCTTTGGCAATTGAATATGGTACCATTGGATAGAGCATTCAATTCTGTCCAATATTCACTCTTCATTTTTGCATGATTAGCAACAGTATCCTTAAAAATGTAAATGTTCCAAACCATTACATTGTCATTTTTAGCGAAATTCATCGATGGCCCTCAAAAGACTTCACGCCAGTTTTCGAATCATTCTAAAGTAGAACGCATGATAATACGACACGGGCACCTCGATGCGATGCATCTTTTTTTGTTTTGGCCATCAAAAAGCATTCGAACGAAATGGATACCAACCAAATCGACACAGACCAACCCAATACCCACGGGTCACAAATAACCCTTCTTCGCGTTGCGGAGCACGCGGGTAACCCTAGTAAATCCTAAAAAGTACCCCGCCGCCCACGCCGTGTGCGACGTAGTCACTTTGTAGCGCTTATTGCGGCGGCGTCTGTTGACCTACGGCCGTGAAATTTTACAGCGATGTGGGCCACCTTTACACGTAGGTCGTATTAAATTTTGGACATGATGCGGCCGGGGGTGCGCCCGCAGCGCGTGCTCGCGTGCCCATAGGGTTAACATTAGAATCGGCAAAAACACGCTATTGCTCGGGAACGGTAAGGGCTACGGGGGTGAAATTTTCACTGCAAGTCGGACGCGTGCACTCATTTGTCGTATTAAATTTTCGAGGGGGTTGGTTCAGCGGTGTGCACGTGGTGGGGCCGCGACCGGCGCCGAGCAGAGGGCACGTGCTTTAGGCTCAGTTGTTCGCTTAAAAAACTGAGTGAGCCGGCAGGTCATTGACCTTTCAGAACGAAGGCCGACACAAGGCACCGCTGGCCAAGGGGATTCACCAGAAAATACAATTAATTTATTTTTGCAACATCTCAGCCGTTTCTGGGCCGATTTAGCTGAAACTTGGACTGTCGCTGGTAGGGTAGGGTAGGGTAGGGTAGGGTAGGGTAGGGTAGGGTAGGGTAGGGTAGGGTAGGGTAGGGTAGGGTAGGGTAGGGTAGGGTAGGGTAGTGTAGTGTAGTGTAGTGTAGTGTAGTGTAGTGTAGTGTAGTGTAGTGTAGTGTAGGAGTAGGGTAGGGGACAGGGGTAGGGGTAGGGGTAGGGTAGGGTAGGGTAGGGTAGGGGTAGGGTCGAGTTAAAATAGGGCCTAGGGTAGGGTAGGGTAGGGTAGGGTAGGGTAGGGTAGGGTAGGGTAGGGTAGGGTAGGGTAGGGTAGTGTAGTGTAGTGTAGTGTAGTGTAGTGTAGTGTAGTGTAGTGTAGGAGTAGGGTAGGGGTAGGGGTAGGGTAGGGTAGGGTAGGGTAGGGTAGGGGTAGGGTTGAGTTAAAAAAGGGCCTAACATACAAAAGACTTGGACACTCCGCAACTATCGCTATTATATTAAAAATAGCTACCCAAATCTACCCAAATAATACAGCTAAAATACAAGCTACTCAACCAAACTAATGCATCCGTCACATATAATTAATCAAAACATACAGTTATCGCACAAACCTGTACCTCTAGTAAGCATAAAATCACCCAGTGACAGATATTCCATTCTTATGTCTACCCATCAGTATCCATGGTAAACGTCTCCCATCTACAGGGTGTCTCAAAAGTTCGTTCACACATTTCCCATGCCAATAAAGCATATAAGAACCGGCCAAAAGTATAAGGTTTTGGTGTCTGTGTGTACACTAGACAAATATGCATGCTTTGACAACTGATTAAGAAGGTTGGAAACCAACCCCTTTGCTGTATCTCCAAAAATATTTTCCCATACCGATTTTTGTTGCTCCGTCAGCTGCCGGAGGCTGATAAAAGGTTACCAGCTTTCAAGCTCTTGCAGGGGAATCCCCTGCAGTTTCTGCGTCGGATTTAGTTTTGACTAGCTCCCCAGCAACATCTGATTTTCCCTGAAAGCCGACAGCTTGCATCGACACCATTCTTGAGTATTTTGTAGGCATTCTCTGGCGCTAACTCCTTCATGAATGACTGGCGCCGACATCCCAAGCGCCATTTTCCTTTTCAAAACGACCCCAGTCCTGAACAAACGGAAAGTACCAGGAGTAAATTTTTCGCATCATATGGTAGCAGAATGTGTCGGACGTCTGTTTCTCAGACACATTGTGCAAATTTTGCAAATTCCAAGCGCTCGTCATTCCCCATGCCAAGACCTTCGCTCGGTTGCGGAGTGTTTTCCTCGGGAGATGTTCTGCTTTGTAAACGGCCCAAACCTGTCCATCGTGTGGTTTTATCGGGATTTTGTGTTTAAAAGAAAATTATTCGCTGCAGATCTGCCTCTTGAAACTTCGCTAGATAAAATTTTACAATAACTGATACTTTTGGAGGGTCAGGTGTCCTTGGCATTGACGATTTTTGTGTTAGGTATTGTCCCCAAAAATTAGCGTTATAGATATTATAAACAATTTTAAATTATAATTTGTCTTTATTTTACGATGACCTGCACTTTTTGAAAATGGGTAACCTCTTTCTGTGACCTTCTTGCCAGTTTTCAATAGTTATGACCGCATTTTCAGCTGCTTTCCGGAACACGAGTCTGCTGTTGTGCGAGGGTCGTTCAAGAGTAAATTTTTCGCATCATATGGTAGCAGAATGTGTCGGACGTCTGTTTCTCAGACACATTGTGCAAATTTTGCAAATTCCAAGCGCTCGTCATTCCCCATGCCAAGACCTTCGCTCGGTTGCGGAGTGTTTTCCTCGGGAGATGTTCTGCTTTGTAAACGGCCCAAACCTGTCCATCGTGTGGTTTTATCGGGATTTTGTGTTTAAAAGAAAATTATTCGCTGCAGATCTGCCTCTTGAAACTTCGCTAGATAAAATTTTACAATAACTGATACTTTTGGAGGGTCAGGTGTCCTTGGCATTGACGATTTTTGTGTTAGGTATTGTCCCCAAAAATTAGCGTTATAGATATTATAAACAATTTTAAATTATAATTTGTCTTTATTTTACGATGACCTGCACTTTTTGAAAATGGGTAACCTCTTTCTGTGACCTTCTTGCCAGTTTTCAATAGTTATGACCGCATTTTCAGCTGCTTTCCGGAACACGAGTCTGCTGTTGTGCGAGGGTCGTTCAAAACGCCGTTAGTCTCGCATGGTTTCGTCCTTCAAAAATTTTAGCCACCGCTTTTATGAGATGATCATCATGTTGCACTCATCCTCGCCGACACTTAGCCATGTGTCATTTCCGACTTAACCATTCCCATTACTCCTGAAACAGAGAGTTTCACAACATACCCGACTTTGCAACCTACATTTTCGTGCCTGACCCATGGTCAGAGGTGAACCCTTTTTGTGAGCTCATGAAGGGTCGAATGCACTTGAAAACAATGAGGCTGCTTGAGGAAGGTTGTCACCAATGCCCATGCAAAATTTCGACTGTTAATTTCTTGTTGATTCAGAATTATTGACAAAAAAGCATGGCTGGTACCTGTGAACGAACTTTTGAGACACCCTGTAGGGTCGTAACGCCCTCTATCAAACCCTGCCTCAGGGCTGTTAAAGTGTTATGTCCTATTGACGTCGTCGGGGACACAGTACCAGTAAAAGTTCAAGTACCCGGGGTCAAAATTACCACATTTAGTAAACTTTTACAGTAATAAATAACTTTCAAATAAAGCAGAAACTAAACGCAAGTAAAAGATATCATTGAATCCACAACGTATATCCCCTTTAACAAGGACATAAAAAGCCCCTATACCTAATACATACCTACAACATGGTTATGAACAATTAGTAGCCACAACTCACTTCCGTTAACAGCAAAACTACCGTCGACAGTTGCTAACGAAAACTAGATCAAACTAGATGATCAAACACATACTAACAGACGCTTAGACACCGACCCCGCTGTCGGCTGTGCTATTTCAAGTGGGGTTGATTGACGACCAGTTGTAGCCAGCTATACGACTAGACAAACGACTAGATTCGGAACCGGGGTCGGACCGGTTGGACATGGTAAATTCATGCGGGGTCGATAGTTTCTAGCCGTCGTCGTTGTGAGCTACCGATACAATAGCGACACCTATTGCATCTGTTCGACGATCGTAGCGCCCCCTACCCTTCCCGGGTTCTTCGTCTGTTACGCTACCCGCTGACCGAGTGATGCCGTGACATTTAATTAACAAACTGGAAATTTCGAAGCGCGAGTCTGATAAGCAATTTAGTACATATGACTGCTCGTAAAAAATAATATAGAAATGAAACCTAAGGAAACGCGCATCGTAGTTGCATGCAGCCTGCATACATGAATCGTAAAAAGGTCGGGGTCATTTTTCGCTCTCATTTTTTTGGTCGGGGACGCAATTTGCTTTTTTACCAGCCCTGCGGCCTGCCTCTCCCCGGGTAAACACTAGACCATCCGCCTCGATGATACTGTCCAAGTCCTGATCTCCGTGCCGCTGTTCCAGTGTCGGCGCCGCTGGACCCACTGGCGACCCCTCGCTGCTGATCGCCAGAAAAGGTGCCGGATATGTTTTTGAGAGCCAGATTGGGGACCTGTATGTTTGACACTTGGCGGCAGAGCGGACACTGGCGACAGTGAATTCGATTTAGAGGGTGCGGGTAATCGAAGTGGTACATTCCTCCGGCAGGTCTCGGTGTGTTTTCTATGCAGTTCTTACAGAATGTGTGGGCACACTCCAGAGTCATTGGCTCAACGAAGGTGCCGAGGCAGACGCTGCATTCCACGTACTCTTTCTGCTTTCTAACCAGTTCTCGGAGTTCTGTCAGCTCTTCGATTTTCTTTTTCATGTCCTCCTCTTCCGTTTTTGCTTTGATCTCTCGCCCTTGATCTTTATCCTTCAGCTCTTTTACCAGAGTCTGCATACTGGCGATCTGCCGTTGGTAATCAGCGTTCATTTGCTGAATGGTGGCTATGGTTTTCTCGCTGCTTTCGTGATCGATAATCAGTTTTGCATAGTTTTGCATTAACTCCTTTTTTTGCGATTCTGTTTCTGCCATTGCTCTCAAATGTTCTTCTTTTTCCCGTTCATATCTTCGCGTTTCACGTTCATTTTCTTCTCTTAGTTTATTTTCCGATTCTTTCCGCACTCGTTCCTCTGTCTCGCGTATTTCTTTTTCCCTTTGTTGGGTCTCCCTTTCTCTCTTTCTTTCCTTTTCTTGCCATTCGTTTTCTTTCTGCTGCCATTCTTCCTCCTTGTTCTGCCATTCGATTTCCTTGTTTTTCCATTCTCTTTCCTTCTCCTTCCATTCCGTCTCTTTTCGCTCCCTCAGATGTCTTTCCGCCTCCTTCTGCTGGCTCGAGGCGTTATCTTCTTGTGCTTTCGGGCGAACTCTGGCTGTTTGCTCACACACCTTGTAATGTCTCTTTGGATATTTGCTCGACGAGTCAAGTGAATCGTTCACATGATTTGCGACCTCCTCAGTGCTGTCGACCCTTTTGACGCGGGTCTCGGCACTGTGGCCCCGCTGCGATTCTTCACAGAGGTCGGGGTCATGTCGGTCGGACCTTTCCTCCTCGTCGTCCCGTTCTGTCGGAGTTCGAGCTCTGGCTGGCCGAGAAACTGACCTGCCCACTCCTTCCTTCTTCAGCTCTTTCAGCACTTGCTCTTCTGTCCAGCCAAAGAATGCCAGCACCCGCTGGTTGTGCGGCTCCTTCAGGCTGTGACTCTTGGAGCACCTGTCTCCGAACCTGCAGCGACTGTGGAGGAATGCCTCGCAGTAGTGTAGTCGTAGGCAATGTTTCTGGCAGCCCTGTCGGCCATACACAGCTCTGCAGAGCGCCGGCTGGGGCGGCCGGCGGCGCACCTGTTCCTGCAGTCGCCTGAGGAGCTCTGTCACGGGGGTATCGGTCAGACCCGCACTGGCCAGAAGGTCGGCGTTGTGCCCGCCGTCCAGCAGGTCGTGACTGAGGCCGCAGTCGTCCAGTGGACAGGCATCCACTACACGACGGTAGCAGATGTGAAGCCGTCCACAGTTAGGGACAGAACAGCTGCCCACGTTGTACATGACGCAGACGCTGACCGCCTGACCTCGGGCCCGCCGGCGGAGGATGTCCAGCGCTAGAGCAAGATCGTCCGAACCTCTCCATCCCAGACCCTCTAGCAGCAGGATGTTTCTGGGCGTCTCCAGGGCGTGGGCCTTGTTGCATCGCTCGGCGGTGCATCTGTTTTGAAGGAAGTATGTGCACAAGTGCAGTTCCTGGCAATTGGCGCGGGTACATCCTCCCCTGCGGTTGTAGTCGCTACACATGCGAGGGAGTTGTCTGGGTGTCTGCTGTCCACTTCGCGATCTTTCAGGTGGTGGGAAGTTCATCGTGATGTCTGCAACATACAGGAGCGTGATCGGAAAATGTATTCTTTTTTGTTAGCCGACGCCTACTGACCGGCTGATGCGGTGGCCAGTAGATTGCATTCAGACTATGCTAATGATAAAGTATTGACGAAGGAAAAGAATGCCTGTATACAACACATATATCACAAAACTCTTTCTTTGGGGGGGGGGGACTTTTTGAACTGCGAATTCTTCTGCAAGCGTGGTAGGCAGACCGTTCCTCATCGTTTAAAATCTTATGATCCGGGGCCATCCGTCTGAAAATACCAAATAACGGCATTGGAGGGCAATAGTACCTAAGGCCGATATCCTTTTCACTTACCAGATGGCTTTCCACTTTGCGACATGATATAGTTGAAAAAGAAGATTAGGCTCATGACACGCAAAGTCTTGTTCGATTCGTTGAAGGTGAGCTATGGCTAGTTTGAGCATTATTATGAATATTATGATGTTAGAAAATGACCTTATTATAGGTATGCTCATGATACAATGAAATGATAGTGCAATAGGTTCAATACTTTTTTGACCTATTTCACTATCATTTCATTGTATCATGAGCATAAGGTCATTTTCTAACATCATAATATTCATGACACGCAATTCAAATTGATTTATCGTTCAACGATAGGCTTGTCGCAGCAAAAAAGGGACTCGGGTATCGCTTAGATGTCGCAGTTCCCGAGTAGTGACGATACAGTGGCCTGAAGGCATATGACGATAAGGAAAAATGTGCACTTTGTGCGTAATGTTTTCATAACTTGATTTTATTGGAATGTGTGTTTTAGATTAGATTTAGATTAGCTTTATGAATTCATATTTTATATTTTTGCACTATTTTAGACTGTTGTTGAAAACTGAAGCCATATACGATTTTTTTATGACTTACCTACTTCCGTGACTAGTTCCTAGCAAGTTAGTGGCGTGCCAAATAATTGACACGGTCGAAAAAAAAAACAGTACATATACCAACTCGATATCAAGTCAGTGGATTGGTAAGTTTCAAAAAACTTTCCAGGAACAACAATTTTAGCTCCATCAGACATCAGATATCAGATGATGGCACGTTTGTGACTCTCAATGGATACGTCATAGGTGACTACAAAATAATTTATTGATATTTAAAAAATGTTCAAATATGTATAAAAGCATTTTTAACAAACCGAAATCAGTTATACCTAAAGCAATTACCTATGTTGTGAACCGATTCGTTTACTTGTGCATGCTTCTTCTTAAAATAAATGCAACGAATTTATCCAAACAATAAATAAACTCTCGTATCAAATATCACGGTAAACTTTTACCAAACGTACATTTGTGTTTCGAGATGTGCTCACTCACAGCTAACATTTCATATGACGTATCACGATTTGAGTGAGTCGCTCATTACGTATAAATTTATATCAAACACTGGTGTGTCATCCCGACTTTATGGTATGTAGTTCATAGTATTATAGGGTTCAATGACGATTTACCGGTCCGTTACCTAGGAGCGCTGCGGCCCGAAGGTTGGAACTTTGAATTATTAAAAAAAAAAAAAACGCCCGCCCGCCGCCAAAACACCGCAAACAAATACCGGTCTGTTACATAACGACTTGTGTATTTGGATTTAAAATGTTGTAAAATCCGTTCATTCATTTGAAACATTAAAACCGTGACAAATATACATTGCAAGCTCAACCTTCGACTATTTTCCAATGACATTTCCCTCTCTGATCCCTATCATTTTCTCACCCAATGCCCTCACACAACTATTTTTAGGCCACCACACCACTTCCTGGCCTCTTACACCGACACTATAGCTAGGGAAAACACTGTGCAGCAGCTCAGTTGCGTCTACTCACCGTTTTTACGTTGAGGCCGGCCGGAGTGCCGGGGATCGGTCAGGCCGGGTCACCGGCGCCCCGTCACCTGATGCCACTCCGGAGTGCAGAGATGTCGTCTCGCGCTATCAGGTGACTATCTTTGATGGCTTACAGTGGATGAATCAGAAACCAACGACCCTTCCGTTGTGATTGCACTTGGTCGGTCAGATTGCATATCGCTCTGTAGGAGGTAGACAGTGAGTCCTTTATTTTCTACAGCCTTCTGAAAGATACTACAGCTGGTGTAGATAGTGCTTATATTATCTTGGTAGCCTGAATGCATCATTTGTGCGACTTTAGATGGTTTGTACTAAATTCGTCACGCCACAAAAACAATTGCTTTGGCAAACGATGAGTGTCTTTTTATATCCGTCATCAGCGAGTTAAGTCACTCCAACTGCCCCTAGCCGTTTTCACGACGGGCTATCCGGCGAATGCACCCAATCTGACCAAATCTGCACCTAACCTCTTTTACAGCAAATATCTTCATTTTATGATTTTTTCAGTGTTTTAATCGATGATAATGTCTGATAATTTGACAAAGCAGACATATAAGCAATAAGTGCAACCCTAGCTGATAGCTACTTGAAACACACTGAACTTAATTTGACCAAATCTGCACCTAATCTGCACCAAATGTGCACCAAATGTGTACCAGATGGCCGTCGTGAAAACAGCTAATGACAACCTTCTTCGCTTATACTTGCATATAGTGTATACTTAGACTCATGGGTGTCGATTTCTATTGAGTTGCGGGTGCACGAGCACTACAAATCCGCCGCGACCCTAGCGTTGACCTTGACCCGAGCTATCTGTTACGTCTCCAAAGCCAAGCCGGCGTGGCATTGGGAGAGGCTCGGACACCCGCAACTCGGCAGAAATCGACACCCATGCTTATACTTGTACTGTAGTCGGTCCATTTATTCGCGCCGTTTAATTTCGTACCGGCTTCTCTTCTGTTTCTTATTGTTTCTCTTGTGAAGCTTGCGTGTCGGAACCGGGGTGGCGAGGCGAGACCCGTCTACAGTACCTTTAAGTGCGGAATTTTGACAGACCACTTGGCCTCAAGGATCTGGTCCTATCGAGCTCCTTGTAGTGTTCTGACTCAGTCGTTAGGGTGAGTTGCGTATTTCGGATGTGCCCACTGTTTGTCCAGTCCGGCTTTGAAGGCGTTTAGGCTGGGGTGGGGGAGTCGACGACTGATGGCGGTAGTGCGTTCCAATCGTTGATGACCCGAAGGGAGAATACCTACATTCCGGCGCACTTGGGAGACGGCCCTCGGTTTCGACAGCTTCCATTGGTGTCCGTGGGTGTTGCCTGTCACTGCTGCCGCGAAGAACCTCTCCGCCTCGAGGTCGATCCCCTGTCTCAGCACCTGGTGTGCTGGTCTGGCCAAAACGACAAAGTGCACAAACTCTGAATATATTGTCGGTAACAACTCCGTCACCACCCGGTGCCGACGAGGTCGCGATCACAACTCCGCGCGGAACTCCCCGCTCCGCGCGCCGTCCCGGTTCCCGCCAGACTCCCAGCCGGCCCGCCGGCAGCCCCAGCCGCCGGCGCCGGGCCTCAGGCGATCACGTGATCCGTGGTCATGCCCCGCGGCCCGGGCCAGGCGAACGGAGCAGCCGGCACCGGCCGATGAGGTGCCAACCTAGTGGAGATGCAAACCCATCACATCTCCCCCTCCCCCACAGTCACATCTGCTCACATTTCCTCGATTAACCGTTTCACGCGCCTTCTCACACGCGTGGATCGTCTCAACCCGAGCGGGGCCGACGGCGCCGCGGCCGCAGGCTCCCTCTGCTGGAGCACCGGCGGCGGCCGGCTCACCACCGGTGGCACGCACTGAGCCAGTTCGTCAGGGATGGCATGGCCATAACGACGCCGCAGATGCCTACGATTTCGCGTCAGCACACGCCCGCTGGACAACCGCACAAAATACCTCCGATGGGGCCCAACCTCACACACGACACCGTAACGGTCCCACCGCCCGGTGCGGTCGTCCTGGACAGACACCTGGTTACCGACGGCCAGTGGCTCCAGGTCCCGAGCCTGCCGGTTATAGAGGTCGTCCGCGCGCTGCTGTTGCTCCGACAGGCGGCCAGCGGCCGCATCGGCAGCGATCTGCCACTCGGGGGCGAAGCTCCGCCGATGAGCAGGCAGCGTGTCTCTCACTGGATGTCCGAAGACGATCTGTGCTGGCGACCTTCCTCCTCTCCCGGGGGTGTTGCGGTGCTGTAGAATTCCTCTTGTCCACCGTTCCTCGTCCAGTTGATTCCGGCAATCATCCCAACAGCACCGGATCAGTTTCTTGGCGGCCTTCACCGCTGCCTCCGCCCTCCCGTTAGATTGGGGGTAGTGGGGAGATGACCGTCTATGCTCCACACCCCACCGACACAGAAAGTCTTGGAACGCCTTGGATGCGAACTGGGGCCCTCCGTCTGACATGATCCATTGAGGTACACCCACTTGACAAAAGATCTCACGCATTGCTGACATCAGCTGTTTAGCCTGTGCACAGTTCCCCAGCAACTTGATGAAGCGCCACCCCGAAAATCCGTCTACAGCAATCAGGTACTTACGCCCAGCGTGTTCTGCAAAGTCAAGATCAAGTGACTGGAACGGTCGCTGTGTAGGCTGGTGGTGTAGGACGGTCTCTCGCTGCTGTGACGGGAGCTGGGCCTGGCAGTTCCGACAGCTTCGTGTCACGTTCTCGACATCGGCGTCCATTCCGGGCCAGTAGACGACCTGACGAGCTCGGCTCTTCGTCCTCTCCTTGCCCAGGTGTCCGTCGTGGAGGGCAGCTAGGACAGCCTTGCGCAGCTCCTGTGGGATAACCAGCCTGCACCCACATACCACGAGTCCGTCATCGACAGACAGTCGGTCACGAACAGTCCAATATCTGCGGATAGATTCTGGTGTGTCATTCTTGGTCTGGGGGAACCCTTCTTCAATAGTGCGTTTCAATGACTGATACTCGGGGTCATACAGGGCAGCGCGGCGTACCTCGTCCAGCCTGACGTCGGTGCCTGACGCGTGCAGCTCTGCGACTACGACCGCGCACACCCGGAGCGATGCGGCGTCCTCACCAACCTCGTCCCCCGGCTCAGGATCCTGGACCGTTGCTCGGGAGAGAGCGTCCGGCGCGACATGTTCAGCTCCAGCCCGCCAGCTGGCGGTGAAGACGCCAGCTTCACCGATCTTCATCCGAAGTCTCTGAAGGCGTGGGTTTTCGATCTCGTCCATCATCTTGCTGTTGAGTATCGGAACGAGAGGGCGGTGGTCAGTCAGAATCTGGAACAACGGCAGCCCGCTGAGGAAGATATGACACTTCCGCACCGCCCATGCCACACTCAAGGCCTCCAGCTCTATTACTGCGTACCTTGTCTCGGCATCGCTCAGGAAGCGTGACCCTGCTTGAATCACGCGCCAGGTGCCGTCGGGATGAGCCTGACGAAGGACGAACCCTAGCCCCCGCGCTCGGCTGGCGTCCGTCTCCAGCCGGGTTGGTAGCTTCGGGTCGTAGAAGGCGAGAGTTGGAAGAGAAGTCAGGGCGGCCTTGGCCTTGTCGAATGCCAGCTGATGGTTCTCGTCCCAGATGAACTCACGCCGTGAGCTGAGGAGGCTGCGGAGGGGCGTCAGCAGTTCGGCTACGTCGTCCACGAAGTAAGCCACCTGGTTGACGAGCCCGAAGAAGCTCCTGACCTCAGTCAAGTTGCTGGGTGTCGGGAACTGTGAGAGGGCTTCAGTGAGCTGCGGGTCTGGTCGGTAGCCGTCCCCGGACACGATGAATCCAGCAAACTTGACAGTCTGCTGTGCCAGCTGCAGCTTGCTGGCGTTGAGAGAGACTCCCCGATCCTGGCAACGCTGCAGGAACTGCCGCACGTGCTGAAGATGCTCCGATCTGGTGCGGCTGAAGATGATCACGTCATCCACCACTTTTCTGAAGCCGGTCAGTCCCTCAAACGCCTCATCCATTCTGCGGTTGTAGTGCTCGGATATAGAGGTCACTCCGTACGGGGCCCTGAGAAACGCGAAGCGTCCGAAGGGGGTGATGAAGGTGGTCAAGAGTCTGCTGTCCTCAGCCAGAGGGCACTGATGGTACCCTTTCAGGGCGTCGAATACGGTGAACCAACGCGCCTCAGACGAACGGATGGAGGCGACTTCTTCGATCGGTGTGGGCGACTGGTACCGCTCCCGCCGAACAAACTTGTTTAGCTGAGATAGGTCCACGCATAGCCGCACACCTGCGCCTCCCTTCTTGGGCGTTACTACGATGGGGGCACACCATTCGGTGGGAGCAGTGACTCGGCAGATGACTCCCTCTGCCTCCAGTCGATCAAGTTCTGCCTTCAGTGGTTCCCGTAGGGACAGCGGGATGCGCCGAGGGGTCGTCACGCAGAACGGCCGGGCATCCTGTTGGAGGTGAATGGTAAACTTTTCCCCTGGCATCGTGCGAATGTGGCCATCAAACACTCGTTCGAACTCCGACATCAGCCGATATCGGTCAGTGTACTCACGTGACTCTGGTGAGTGGTCGCTCCCGGCAGGTCTCTGAATGCTGGTTGGGTCCTGGGCGTTCTCTAACCCTCCAGCAGGAGGCGGCGTCAGCGGGCCCGCCAGGTCGGCCGTCGTGCTGGGGTTGGCCGTTGGCATGCAGTGGCCGACTCCAGCGGTCGGATCGGGACCCGAGCTCAGGCGACGCTCTGCGGTGGCGGCAGTGGTGGACTCCGGCTTCCCTACCGCCGCGATCTGCCGGGGATAGTCTGCTGGGATGAGCTTCAGGGTCCTCGTGACCTCCCAGGACAGTAGAAGTCCTCTGACTCCCGGCAGAATGTGTACCTCCTCCTCTGCTTGGATGTCCCCCAGTGCGATGGTGACCGGCAGAATCCCCACCGACGGGATGACGCTCCCATTGGCCGCGCGCGGGTGGTGCACTGGTCGGCGGAGATCCTCCCGGGACGCCCCCAGCTGTGCCAAGAGGTCCTCGCCGCCCACCGACAGGTCAGCCCCGGTGTCAGGGAGGGCGTCCACGGTCACTCTCCGGT